ACTTATCTTGGCAGCTACATCAGCAATGATGGGCGCATAGAAACGGAAGTCAGTTCACGCATTGCAAAGGCCAGAATTGTTTCTTGAACCTGCGTCATCTTTGGCGACAGAAGGGAGTTTCCCTTCGTCTGAAAGGCCGTATATACAAGACTACAGTGAGGACCGTCCTGCTTTATGATAGTGAGACTTGGCCCCTTCGGTCTGAAGATCTGAAGTGCCTGCAAGTCTTTGAGCATCGTTGTCTGCGAAGCATTGCTAGTGTCGTATGACAGCGGCGGCATTCTGGAAGCTTGAGTACTGAGTGTGGAACAACTATCAGCTTACCCTTGGCACGAAACTGATGGTGTACAAAACTATTTTGTCTGTCCGTTTTTCTGTACGACAGCGAAGCACGGTCGATGTACCGGAGGGAGGTGAGATATCTCGTGCAGGTCCATCAACAGTGTTTTTGCGACGGACTCTCCGCATCGCTTGGTGCGACAACGTCGCTGATACAGAAGTGTTGCGACAAAGTGGAAGGTGTGCAGTTGGCTGCATACTTTTACTGAGACACCTGAGGTGGCTCGGTTATGTGAGCCGTATTCATTCGACGCGGCTACCGAAGCAACTATTATATGGTCAGCTTAGTATTGGGAAGCGGCATCTGGGGAAACCAAAGTTGCGTTACCAGGACATGATTAAAGTGAGCCTCACACGTTCTAATCTTGATTGCAGATCATGAGAATCGAAGGCGGTTGATCGGCGTGCATGGCACGATCTAATCACGAAGGCAGTTGCCGAAGTGCGGGAGAGAGACCTCACGCACGCTTAGAAGAAGCGGCAAGCACCGATGGGTTGTACTCCATCGACATCGAGTGCATGGTGCTGTAGCACATGCGGTCGCGAGTGCCTGAGTCAGGCAGGCCCAGTGAGTCATGAGTGAGGCCACTCGGGGCTACCACCGAAGCGACGACGGGACCTGCAGAGAACGTAAGCAGAACCTGCGCATCATTGGTACGTACACTGCATTCGATTTACTAACCGCGTGCTTGCATGCCGAGTCGCTTTTTCAGGCGGTTTGTTTGCTATATTGTCCTAATGCTTTTCTTTCTCCTATTATTGTCTATCTGTACTATCTTCTATAAACTTGCGCACGTCCTTTAAACTGCTTTAGTTAACTTCGATAACATTTTCGCGTTTGTAGATTTGCCTTAAAACATATTTTCTGACCTCTTTAACTTATCGCGGATTCGTTCGTAATCAATTTTTATATGCCCATTTAGTGAAGTTATGTCTCCGTATCTGTATGCATTATCCGATTTATTTTATTTTATCTTGTCGTTTCAAGTGATTGGCTGTTGCTTGATATCCCTGTGTGACTTCGCTTTATTGTGCATGTTGACAAATTGCCTACCCGTCTATTACGCATTACCTCGTCCATACTGGCTCCAGGAGACAGTTGGTCGTTGCTGGAGGGGACGGGGTGCACGGTCCTTGTGGCCGTGTTAGGCTCGAAGAGTGGTTCCATGCACTCAGTGTGGAGCGGACTACGGTTCAGCCACCGCCTTGTGTGCACTTGATTCCCCAAATACAGCGTGCTTGTGTTTGCCTGTGAAGGAGTGTGGGCCGGCTCCGTTGATGAAACGTGGCTCCCATCCACATGCCTCCCGGTCTTATTCCTTCGAGTTTGCACTGGATATGGGGTGTGTGGTTGGAGCTGTGGGTGGTGCAGCGCGAGCCACCCATGGTCCCTCTGTAGGCGCTCGTGTTCTCATGCTGACCACAGTGACAGACAAATCCTAAATCAGGATGCCGCCAGCCGTCTCTGGCACTGATTTTCAACCGGCGTTTGATAATTTATTTATTCCACGACATCTGGACTGCAGCCAGATTGACACCAGTGCCTACGAATGAATCATAGAAGTATCGCTGATTGGCGTGCACCTACGTGCTATCAAAGAGGCTTGGACGGCTTCAAAGTCCTCTCATTTTTACAAGCGATTATAAACTTGGTAGTGAACAGTTTGTCAGGACGCTCCAATTTGGATGCCTTTTCCTTTCTCGCGCATTCCATTGCATCTGGGTCTTATTAAGATGCAGTATCTTTCGGCTCGCAATGCCCTTGGTAGCCTTAGCAGATAGTTACTACTGAACTTTTTGTTTGCAAACCGCATTCCCTGATATGTTTGTAACGTACTGCGTGGCTGTTTCCTGAGTCGCACACTCTTCATGTAGTTATCCGGTCGGTGGTTTTCCGCAATCACACCCTATTATGCTGTTTTGCAAGGGGTTCTTTTAGTCCACTTTTTTGTTTTTCCTCTACATTGAACCTTTACCCATACCATCGAGTTTGTCGGATTTTAATCAGCTGATAACATAGTCCTAGGTAGGTAGCCCCCATAATTGAGGAATCTTCGTATCTCCAACGAGGATTTGGCGAACTCTTGTCTTGCTCATGCTCACGGTCCCTCTCCCTTGACCCTTCCAACTGTTGTTATATCATGCTCTCCTTTGTTCGCCTCGACACGTTGTGTTCCCTTTTAATTACCTCTCCTCCTTTGGTTGTGAGTGACCAAAGCATCCCTCGTTTACACACCGTGGAGTGCCTCTTGGTTTTCTTTTCTTGCAATGTATCTTGATCGATACATATTCTTGATAGTTTTCAAAAAGTCGGCAGCTCATCCTCTTACCTCATTCAGGTTGTCCGTATCTCTTGCTCTAATTCTAGGGTTTGTAAATGCATATATTCTCTGACGTCGGTTATACTTTTCCCCTGTTATTTTCACCGGACTTTATCAAGAAAGTTGTGCTCTTCTTGAGCACTCACTAATTTTTCCCGATGCTCTGATCTGGCTAAGGATCCCTCATTGAGTTTTTCGTTAATAATCATTTTGACTCCTAATTCAACTTTTCATCAAGCTTTCTAAACGACCCCTTCCACCACTTACACACTGTTTTAGCAAGCCCTGCATCCCTTTTACCACGCGGTCGAAATTTACTATTTTATTTTTCCATTCCTCTTCGTATCGCAATTCCATTTTGCCTTATCTGTCTCGCTTGTTAGTCGACCCATCATTTGCATGACCATTTTCTTTAATTGAAATGGCACTCTTTTTATTTTCCTCATCAATTTGTATTTCTCATTGGTACTATGTTGTTGTATCTCTGCAACGCTAGTGTGAATTGCTACAAATGCTCCCAAATTGGTGAATAAGGCTTATGTATACTTGACTTTTTGATCCTGCCAACTTGTTTCACTGCCTATCCGTGAACGCAGTGCCTGTAAAACTCTTTTCCATTCCATAGTCTCTACCGTGACTCCCGATGCCGGTTAAAGGTGTACGGGAAGCTGTCCCCTGAGTTCGCCGAGACAGGTGGAGTTTGCCAGACTTGTTCTGTTTCCCTTCCTTCTCAACTTCGTCATCGCAATAATCATCATCATACACGTTAGCTAGAGGTGGGGAACACCTAAGCTACTGTGCCTCAATGCACATGAATGCCTCCGTACTTCCGACCACTACTGTATTGGAAATTCTAACCGGTTACCGACTGCCAAATATTGAATATACAGGCCATTTAAATTTCCAGGTATCGAACGCATTGGCTATGCTATCACTACTGCACAGACAAACGCGTAGTGCTGCACGCTTCAGCATGTGCTTTGCATCTTTGAAATGCAAAGTGCTGTTGCAGGACTGAGCCGATACGCAACAAGTTTTGGCTATCATCGAACAGTCTTTAGAGTACTGGATCGGTTCACTTACCTTGGTAGCTGTGTCATCCCTGATGGTCACATCACTGAGGAAGTTACTTCTCGTATCAGCAAAGCCCGAGTGGCTTTCCAGAGGCTCAACCGTCTATGGAGATGGCGGGATAAGTTGTATAACGCTGCGATAAGGCCGGTGTTACTTCTACATCAGAGACCTGGCTAGTTCGTGGCGAAAGCATTAAACGCTTGGTCACGAGGGCCTAGGGAATACTGGTCACGTCTGGTGGAAACACCAGGTGTGCAATGCTGAGGTCTGCCAGTTGCTTTTTGACAAGAAATCCTGCGGTGCTTCACTGGATTGTCTGTTATACTTGAACCGCTTATGTTTGCTATATACTGTCTTTCGTATGCCGGTTTGACTGGCTTTCTCGGTGTGGCTGCATTATATTTGGGCGAAACCGCTAAGGGCCAGTCGATGACGTGGCACGATGGCATGAAGAAATTTACTGGGAGACTTGGTCAAGCTGGAGCATGCGGTCTCCGTGGATGGGGACTCCGGGACAGTTCACAAGGGTAGTTGGAAACTTGATCACACTTAGCGCAGCCAGTGGTGACTCCGCATTCAGTTTTTTACGTCTAGTTACTAACTTTTACGCCATCCCGATACGTTTAACGTACTTGTTGACCCTGTTTGACGGCATTTTGACCCGGATCCTTTTTGTTATCCTGTGAACATATGCCATCGTAACTGCATCCACCGCAAATCGGTGTCCGGATCATAGTTGTTCGACTGAACTGAATTATTTACTCTATTCGCCTTGTAATCCTGTGTTTCTCTGGTGTTTCATATAGAAACGTAGCTCTTCTCATGTTGCTCTCCAAGGTTCGTCGTAGCTGCTCTTTGCTTTCGTAGTAATCATCCTTCTCTGTTGCCTGGCTTTTAATCTATCATAGTTCATTGAAACATCCTGCACTATTCCAACCGTTTCATCTTGTCGAAAACTCCTATCAGCGTCGTTCCGTGGATTTTCCCCTCAATTGATCACCGCGAAGTTGCTCAACACCCTCATCGAATGACACCCATTAGGTAAAATATTGCCTCAACAGATTGCTCTCCTACTTAGGTTGCATATTATTTTTTATATTATTATTTCCACCATATCTTCTACTGGCCCGTAATGTGAGTGATTCAGACTTGTAGAAAGCAAACTTTGCAATTTTTCTAGACCACACGCAACTGATGGTGGTCGCCTGATAGCGGAGCATCAGGCCTACTCCTGACGTCTTTTGTGTCTTTTGTCCTTTTGCCCAGTCCGAGCAGATCGTGATCTTGGATAACGGGCTGGTCACTACCGATGTACCGCGATCTCCTTCACCGCCGTCGGTCTCGTCTGTGGACCCGATGGATAATCAGGGAATAAATTCAGAGCACTCAGCATGCATAACTAAAATCCTTCGGCTTCAGCAAAATCAGCTAGACCTTACTGAGGAGCTGGAATTCCTCCAAGAACATTGTCGCAGACTTACCGAGGAGATAAGCAAGAAAAGTCGCATTATTTAGGTTCGTGTCCTTCTTCTCCGTGAGTTCATTTAAGTATCATCTCACAGCTAACGGCCTTTTATCATATGCTTGCCATTCCGCCTTGTCAGCCTTAGACTTGTTTGATTTTTGTATGTTTTTTTCGTATTGCTTATGTACATGCAGTAAACGCATGCTTTCTTATCGTTCCATGGCGCTCCCTGCTCATCTTCACGGTTGATAAAGAGTAATATTTCTTGTCATGGTGCCCCTCGTTGACTCACCATCGGATAGTATTTTCTCATTGCTCAGCCTTCCTGAGCAGAACTCGATGTGTATTTTCCCTCTTTCCACCGATTATTTACAGTCACACTTTTTGAACGATAAACATCTGGGCTCAACTATTTCCAACCACATTAGCTTTGATCATGGGATTGTGGCTGGGACAGAAGTTAACCGACTCACTTCGCGCTGCTAAGTGTCCAGACGATCTCCATCACCCAGATACCTGTCTCAACACCATCCAAAAGATGCAGACCGTTCTGGCGGATGTATTGTTCAATGCGACTGAACCTTAACGTGATGCGATGGTTTGTGTGCCTCAGTGATTCACTGCGCTGTGCTGTGTGGTGCTTTTTTCACCTTCGGAGCCACTCATACCAGATCGGTCAATGGTTAAAGGCCAGAGAAATTCAATCTCCTGGCCTTCCAGGTTGGGAGTTGGAGTGAGGGTGGCTCCTTACTCCATAAAACGGGCTCTCTGTAGTCCAGTGCCAAAACCCCGCTGCCTTGCGGTCAGGTTTTTGAACCAAAGGCTTTGGTTGAGAACCCTAATCGTTCTCCTGTCTAGACCTGGGCAACATGACAGTATCCTGCCCACGAAATACACCATGACCTTTTCTTCTAACAATCTCTTGATGCTCTGGCCGTCGCAGAGAATAATTGACGGCGCCCTATCTGCTGCATCGAGCAGGGTGGATATGGATTTGGATGCTACTGGTCAGGCCTTCCCGCTTTCTCATTCCCCCTCTTGCGCTTTTTCATCCTTTGGGTCCCGTTCCAACTTCACTTACATCCTCCCCCGTTTTCAACCCCAATTCTTGGCCCTTCTCCACCTTGCTTGAATAGTTGCTTGTCTTCTAGTTTCAGCTCCCACACCATCACAGGGCGTCGCCCGAATCCAGTCGACAAGTCCATGTTCAACCAAGCGGACAACGTCAGTTCATCTGTTTTCCTTTGGAGTCCTCGATCCTTGCTAAGACTGTCATGCCTCAACGTGCGCACTTTGTTATAGATTGGCCAACAGGCGGCATTTGCCCGGATACTCGAGACCATCTGGACTGATATTTGCTGTTTATCGGAAACCCGCCTGCAAGATTCGAGCTCTGTGCATACTCTGCGATTCCCCACATGCGACACTGGCGTGAAATTCTCATTGAGCCTGTCTGGCGATGATGCAGTTTCAAATGCAAGTCAAGCTCTTGTCGGCATTGTTTTGAGTCGCTGAGCTGATGCTGCCCTGATCGACTGGATCGCTGTCAACATCCGGATGTGCGCCGTTAGGTTGGCTGGCTCGTTCCAGGCTTCGAAGTCGCGGGGGGACAAACGGTGCCTGTTTGGCATTGCGGCTTACGCCCCCCACAAACCGCAGTCTTGATTCGGTGCAAGATGGTTTCTATCCTCAACTTAACGATATTCTTCGTTACAGTAGAAGCACGGACACTGTGGTGCTTGCTGGTGATCTAAACGCGCGCGGGAAAATTGTCCTCTGATGAGCTTCATCTGGGGCGGCCAGCATAATGTACGCTCCTGTAATGATAACGGTGAGCTGTTGCTACACGTCTGTGAAGCTGCTCGTCTCTCTTGCGTGCACAAACTTTCGACATAGCACCTGGCGAAGAGTGACTTGGCGCCCACTAGCCTCCGGCCAGCCATAGACGCAAATGGATCACATCGCGATTAGTCACTGCTGGAGAGGCTGTGTTCAAAACTGTCGTTCGATTTGGAGCACCAGCGTGGATTCCGATTACGCTCTCGTGTGTGCTGACCTGTGGGTGCGTTTCGGTGGATGTCCGCAACGTCGATCTGAGCGCATTGACTCCAGCCATCTGGCGAAGCCAGGTATTCTGAATGCGTATCAAAGTACGCTGGCATCTGGGCTGAGTACGCGTCCACTGAATACCGTCGAATATCACTGGTGGCATACTCGTCAAACGTTACTCTCAGTAAACATGTCTTCATGTGGCAAATCAAATTGCCAACCTATACATTGGGTCTCTACAACGTCTGTGGAATTTATGGATGCTCGCCGACGTATTCCGGCTGAAAGCGAATACGACGAGACTCGCAAAAATTTCAGGGCAAAACTGCGTGCATCGGAAATGGAAACAGCCGCTGCCGTTGATAATCATCGTAAGTTATTTCGTCTGCTACGGGAAATAGGCACCAGGAGACATGATGTTAGCGAGACAATACACGGCGAGAGTGGACAGCCAGTCCACTGCTTGTCAAAACGCTTGGAGCGTTGGGCCGAACACTTTGCGAGGCAGTTGAACCAATCTTAGTTATCGCTTTCTCTTTCGGGAATTGAGTGCGCTTCTTCATGGGCTTCTTCTTAGATTCGCCCTCAGGTGCAGAATTGGAACATGAGGTCAAGCTGTTGCAAATGCATATGACTGCTAGTGCAGATAGAATTCCCCCAGCTCTCTACAAATTCGGGGCCCTGTTCTTGTAGATGATTTACACGAGTTGCTAGTGGAACTTTGGGAGGAGGAAACTGTCGCGACAGACTGAAGGTGCTCCGTCATAGTCCCAATTTTGAAGGGAGGCTTCTGTTCGGAATGCGGCAACCATAGAGGGATCAGTCTGATCTTAACTACCTCTAAATTGCTTGCCTCTGTCGCTCTCCACAGATTGACTGGTGTTCGTGAATGCCAGATCCACGAATAGACAGCCAAGTTTCGTCGAAAGCGAGGCTGCATCGACCATATCTTCACTTTGCGTCAGTTGTTGGAGCACCGCCATGTTTATTTGTGACCCGGAGTTGTCGTGTTTCTCAACATCAAAGGTGCCTTCGATTCGTTGGATCGATGTTCACTTTTGGACTGTCTGCTGAGAAAAGGTGTACTTGATAAATACGTAAATATTATCAAAGCGCTGTACTCGCATAGTTCGGGCAGAGTGAGAGTTTATGACAAACTGTGGCCGCCCTTCAATATCTCCAGCGGTATGAGACAAAGTTGCCCGGTGTCACCTTTCCTCTTTGACTTCGCTATTGATGAAGTCATGAAAATAGCGTTCGCTGGACATGACCTAGAAGGTGTGGAGTTACTTCCTGGTGAGCAATTTTTTGACTTGGAGTATGCGGACGACATTGCCCTCATATGTGACAGCGCCCAAACGTGCCAGGCTGCACTGGACCGAATAGCTCTGGCTGACAATCGTTTTTGACTATTCTTCACTCTATCGGAATGCAAAGTTCTTCTCCAAGATTGTCAAGGACCCACCCCTTTGCTGACCTTTGGTGCTGATCAGCTAGAAGTCAGTTAGGAATTCAAGTACCTAGGCAGCTATATTAGCAGTCATGGGATCGAAGCTGAGATTATGAACCGTATAGCAAAAGCTCGAAGTGCTTTTGCCAATCTCCGCCACCTGTGGTATCGATGCAACATCACTCTCTCCCTGAAGGATAGAGTGTATAATGCAACCGTCCGTGCAACTTCTTATACGGTTGGGAAACCTGGCTCGTCAGGTCCACAGACATAAGGAGGCTAGCCCCCTTCGATCATCACTGCCTCTGCAGCTTAGCTCATGTCTGGTGAGAGCACTGCGTGAGTGATGCGCGTGTTTGGCGTCGCGTATTTGGTGCAGGAAGAGCGAGTGAACCGCTCAGCATCATTAAATCACGTAACAGGCTCCGATGGCTGGGCCACGTGTTGCGCATTCCAGCACACCGACTTGCGGGACGTGCATTATTTGCGCGCCGGAGGTGCGGTTGGGGATGACTTGGTTGAGAGAAATGAAAACCCTCACTTCGAAGTTGGCATCAGTTGGTGCATCCGGACTGCTTGACTGGAGTCCTTAGGCGGACTAACACGTTTGGTTGGACACACTTGCTGGTTTGGTTAGAAGCCGGCCCAAATGGCGTTTGTGTTGTGAGTTTCTTTGCGCTCCTGCTTAGCCTCCCCTCCAGTCAAGATCTCATTCGTTAGGCGACACGATAGCTGGCTGTTAGCTCTCCGGAACGATGTCCATCCGTTACTGGGGTTTCAGCAGGCGTGCCACTGTAATTTTTTTCTTGTGTTTTGTATTGCGGCACAATAGCTGAGGTGTTTTCCATCTGATGCTAACGTGTATAATGATGATAATGGTGATTTTTCAATAAGATCACTCTACACTTTTGCATCATCTATGTGTCAAAGTTCTATCTAGTGTTGGTGTTTCAAACTACCTCCTTTAACTTGTTTTCCTCCCTATCGAAGAGCTGGTTTCTTCGCTATGATCTATTTGACGTGTGGTTCTTGGTTCAGGTGCTCACGGATATTCCCAAACCCTGTCTTTGATTAAACCAGTGGGATTCCGTTTCAAACACCTATGTTACTCCTCGGCTCATTCGGGTTTATTAACCATGATCCGGTCACCGACCGCAAAGTCTCACATCACTGAGGAAGTTAGAGCCACGGAGACAAAGCGCAAAACGGCAGCAGATGTGCTACGGAAGCTTGTTTAGCAAGTGGGATGATTGATGTTTCTATGAATGGTTCACAGCACAGGCAAAAATCGATGTGCAACGGACTTCACTATTGATCCACGTCGGATAAGGTTTCTAGCCATTGATTCGGTCCATCTTCATTTTCACAATTTGGGACGTGATGTGCTCCGACACCATGAAATGTTTTTTCACGCCTCTCGCTTCACTCGGCCAGGTGCGGCAACGATAAAACACTTCACTTTGAAGTACCTAATCGGTGAGCTTGTGCTGAACATGATATAATCAAGGCAGACGCTGCTAGTCCAACAATTGTCCCATTACGACCCCTACTTAGGGTTTGCTGCCTGAACCAGTTGCCTCACACATGTTGCTTACATGGTCCTGCCATCATGTGCGAGCGATGTTGCACAGGCGCCTGTGGTCGACCCTCCGTCAGTACGCACTGGCCACCTTTGTGATGTACGCAACAACACGGGCGTACTGCAGCGTTGCTAGCGCTTACTTTAACAAACAGTCTGATATGTTGCCATCACCACCATTCGTGGCCTTGGGAAGCCACCGTGGATAATAATGTCCACATTCATCTGAATACTGTACCACTTCTCAATTGATTGCGTCCCCAATGCAATCGCTTTCATCCGTATGGCAGCAGCCTTTCTCTGTAACGCATAAAATACAATCTGATGATCACCGACCTTGCATCCAGAAACGCATTGGATGGCCAACCGCTATCAGCCAATAACATTCGGACCATATGCCATCGTAGCTGTCTAACCTAGACCCACCTGGGGCAAAGAGCAGTCGCGCTTTGCGTGTTGCAGTTGGCGCAATTTGGTAATACTTAAGCTAGACTGACGCGAGGAAGGAGACATCCACGTGGTCAGACTCAAACGGATGGTAGTTGACGCCTTGTTGCACTGACCTCAGCCATCTGCTCGTCTGGGTGTACGACGTGTCTGCGAGCGCTAGCATTGGACAATGGTGTGTGTGTGTGTGTGTGTGTGTGTGTGTGTGTGTGTGTGTGTGTGTGGAAGCAGGTGTTAGTCAAGTCTACAAAGTCTACGAACGCAGACGTGTCAGTGAACATCTCCGGAACACTGAGTCAAACCTGAAGTGAGTAGGGGCGTAATCAAACCAGTTCTGACGAGTCAAAACGGTTTCCCCAAGGGCTTAAGCGACCAAACGAGAGGTCCGTTTGAGGCGAGGGGACAGGTGAGGCACAGAAGACCAGAGTGAACAATGTTGACTTGGTATTCCGAAACGCTCTCTGCTAAAGGCAGACTGATCGCCTCATTTTGATGCTGTCTCATGCTATTTTGGTCGGACTCCCTCAATTAAAGGCGCAGTGCAAGCTACCATTTAACGTCGGTGTCAAGTTGTCAGTAACATAAGGAGGGAACGATATAAAGCACAACGATAGGTCTACAATGTGTTCAGCCTAACTTATTACTTTGATCCTTTAAATTTCACATTGGTGGCAGTTCCTCAGGTATAACTATGTGGCCTAGAAAATAATCATATTCCAACCATTTCGCTCCCATGCAAATCACACAGACCAAATCTGATCGAGATTGACGGAACAGCTGCCGGGCCAAATGAATATTCACCAAGTTAAAGTTGGATAAAGCATCTGATAGATGTGTTATTGCAGCCTTGTAAAATGAGGTGTTTGACCGTCCCATCTGTGGCGATGCTTAATCATATTTGGACCACCTCACATACCTGAACACTTAAGAGATCTGGTGTTTATGCGTGCGCAACCTGTTGCACGCCTTTGTGGGTGCTTTACATAAAACGACATAATGGGACATTGTGATGGGGATACCAAAGCTTGTATTGTATATTTGTTCGTTTGTTTTTTTCGTAGGGACGACACAAATTAGCACTAGTTTAGGGTGATGGATTCGTGCTATATGCTACAGATGTTTCTTTTTAAAACCACGCGATGACTATTAATACATCTGGAGTTGGGAAAAAGCGTCAGTTGTCACTTAAGAAACAGCTGTGCCAACCATTTGCCGGTTAGAAGTACCAACGCTTTTGTAATCTGATTGCTCAACTAGCTTCAAGCTTTCAAATATTTCATGAGTTTGTAGTACTAGTTTTAACGGGTATAAATTACCATTCACTATGCTGAAGTCAATACTAGATTCGGATGAAAGTGAAGAACACAATCCTTAACTACCAACACCTGTCCTAGTACTATGCGGTACTTGGTTTCTAATCTTGATGTTACGCTTGAACATGTGTACATAGAGGATTCTTAAAATCTACCCGTACAATAAATAGACATTGTAGTACGGGCACATTTCTGAATGCCCACTACTCCGTAGAGCAGCTTGTGACGTAGAACTCGGACATCTTCAGCGGCGGTTTTGTGCAAACAACTGCGGCTAATTGTTTACTAAATGTGAACGCCAGTGCTAGAATGCGCTGCTTCGGTTACACTATTTAGAGATGTCTATCCGTAAAAAAGTTTAGTTCGGCTTTTTTGCACTTTATGTGGTGAACAATACACGATCTGATTATGAAGGAACCCGCACGGCAAGTTAGACCGTTTAGACCAATCACAACACATCTATGAGTGTTGGAATAGAAAGGGATGAAAATTATCTTCAGTTAGTGGAACACATCTAGGCCCCATCCGCGCCCATCAGATGTAACATTTGTTGAGCTCGGACTGTGGATAGATTCCAGAGACGCCGATTAGTTTTGAGTGCAACTGGTCTTGTTGGATATTCAGTTTTAACATCTCCACTTCGCCCCAAAATGGTGTTTGATTAGAAGTCTCAGAATGTGCCAAAAGTGCTAGTAATTGGCGAGGATTTTTGGAGTGGAGATGATCGCGATTAGGAACATTTCAGTACCGTTCCAACTCCTCCTGACCATGACTTCAAGAGAGCTATCAGTTCGTGGAACAGTAGATGAGAAAGGTCGACAATCGGTCCATTGTCAGGTTCGTCGAGCACATAGTTGGATGGAGTATTTTGCGCAGTTCAACACACCTGATGTGACACTGTCTTTCGCTTACATTACTTGAACATGTGTGTGGGACGTTGGGATTCATTGGAATTCGACGTGAAATTACTGTATTGAATCGGAACAGACCCTGCAGCTTTCCACTACCGCTGCTGAAATTTAGCTTATTCACTGGTGCCTGGTCTATCCGATCTACCCTAATCTATTTATACTTCTCAAAAAATTTCTTCAGATCGGCGATTATCAATGGTCGTTTCCATCTTAAACATCCGCCATACAGCATTATACGAAATTCCTTTATTGGTTGATGTAATTTTATTGTTTCTAAAATTCTCGCAGGTGTCCTTTTCCTTATTCGTTATCTACAGCATTGCTCTCTAGTCTGCCTCTATCACATGGCCACTCTTCGTCAAGTGTTTGGGCAGGGACACATGAAAACTGTATTGATTTTTTTTGACTTGGAAGCCACCTTTGACTCGGTTGGTGGTGCTAGCTTTTGTTGCTGTCTGTCGTTGGAAAGCGTGCTTACTAAACTTCTATCATAAAGCGTGTTGTACGCGACTCCGAGTCCCTGTATTGGTCTACAGAAAGCCATTACTGATTAGCTGGAGACAATCGGGTTATCCTGCACACAATTTTCTCTTAAGCTTTTACCGTCTCTTCCATGACAGTAGTTCTGCTGGGTATTGTAAAGATCTTTACCTGTTCGATCCTTGAGATTGCTTCAATCCCCCCCGATGTTCCAACTTTTCTGCTCGGTGTTAGAGAGGAGCTCCTTTTCATATAAATGCTTCACCTTATGGACCGCTGCTATTTGCTTAGACTTCTGGGGCACTGAATTTCGTTGAGACTTCTACACGCATCCGGTGTACACGTACGCATTTTACAAATCTATTGATGTTTTCCTAGTACTGCTAGCGTAACTGGAATATTTTGAATCAATTCTCTTGTTATTTTGTTTTCAGGAGAATCTGAACACGTTGGGCTGTGAAGTTTCTAGCCGAAATCCCCTTATTCACGGTTTTCGCAGCAAGTTGTGCACAGATTGTGTAGCAACTGTGGATAGCATTTGCGAAGTAATGTGACAACCCATGGATTTTTACTGGGTTACAACAGAATTATCCTACTGTGCGCGTGCCGTGAGATTTGTATTATTTTCTTCGCTTGGTTCTTCCATCTGCATTTCAACTAGTTTTGTTCTGTCTAGGTCCCACAATCGTACTTCGACTTTGCCATTATTTTTTATACTTTCACTTTGCCATGCCCCCAACATGGTCATCGTGTACCGCATTCAGGATGTCTTGTTCCTTTAATCGCATTTCGTCAGCCCTCCAGTCAACGATTACACGTGTGTCTGAGGTTGTCTCCTTGTCATTTTCTTTCGCAAATTATCTCCCCATTCGTCCGTCCTCTCTGCCCACCTCTCGGTGTTGGAACGTCGTTCTCTGCATTTCCAACCTGTCCTTTTTTATGCGAAACCCACTACATGAGCTACTGCGGGTAGCTCAACCGTCAACACGCATTTTTCTTCGTTCCTGTCATGCATTTCAGGACTTGTGGGTTGATACGCCTGCCTTTCATGCTCCGAACACTCGGGGAGCTGAACAGCTTCGCACACTTCCGCTTGCTGGACCCATCATCTGCCGCATTGCTTCCACAATCCCACTCACTGCGCCTTCATTCATGTGCTTGTTTCCTCGTTCGTTTCATCTAGCGATACCTTATAACGGGCACCCGGGTATCAGTGACCACCTATTGTGTGTGACTGGTCATATGAGTGCTAGGTGACACTATTTCGGATTACACAACATTCCTTTTATTCAATATTAGTTCCACTCTACCAGTGTCTTGTGTGTTGGCATTGGCTCGAAGTTCAACCAACATAATCCCTTGATTTTGACGATTCCATATTTATACGCACTGTTTGCTAATGCTGATACGCCACTTTCTGTGTCATGGACCTTTTACTCAACCTTCTAGAGACTAGATCTGCGACAACCCAAAAATTATTCGTAGCTTGAATGTCTTTCTTTTACTGTAACGCAACTGTGTTTATTTGACTATTTTTTGCTACTTACTCTATGCCCATATGTGTTTGCATCCGTTGGTCATTTGTCTCTGCTCACTGCCTTGGTGCCGTGAATGTCCACTCCCAATCGCTGCATCCTCCCACATCCCTTAGCAGTTTGTACGAATACATTGTGCTGCAATTGATGGTACTCTTCTTCCGATAATGGTGCTCGAATGCGGGCCCACGTCAGAACTAATACTAGCTGGTTGTGCACGCGTGAATTTCTACAACCTCCGACGACTGTGTATGATATTGTAAATTTCGGAGACATTGGTACCACCCTCGCTCTACGCACATCGTTTGTCTTACTAGCGAACTTTTGAGTTGGTAGAGTATACTGGATTAATTGTGACTTAAAAATAATCCAGTCCAGTGTTGTTTGTTATTTAATAGTGTTGGTCATAGCTCAAGCTGGTGTCAGAGTATGTATACAATGTCTAGCAAAATCTATACACTCATAAACGCACCACCAATAGACGTTCTCCGTATAAGCGTATTCAAAGCAACTCGGAGGATATAACAGTGTTGTGGGCTGCTGCAGTTGTTGGAATGACAATCAACGCTCCAGGAAACCGTATTTGCTCTATGCATCAGCATAATATACATCAATGGTTCACTGAGACTCGGTTATGTAGCAACCTAAAGTATCATCTCAGTCAGCTGGTGCCCTCTTCCAATGGATCGAGTCAAACATGTCTACTACACTGGAGTGCCTAATGGGAACAGTTTCATCTGCGCTACATCCAAACCGGGCTGTTCATCCAGATTAATCATAACTAAAAGTCGATGGCGTTAATTCCCTTCGTCATCATAATCGCCTTGATTCAAAGGTGCCACTGGTTGCGAACTGCATTTGTCTCTTATATGGTGTCCATTTATTTTTCGTCCTAAAGCCTGATTCAAGGTTGTCAGACATCGAATAGACAAGCGTTCTCTTTTTCTGATATTCGCCTACGCACCCACTGACTGCAGCTCGGATACAGTCAAGGACCAGTCCTGTCCACATCTTCGTGAGCTGCTCCTAAAGCCACCTAAAACAGATATCATCATTATGACAGGAGACTTAAACACACGTATCAGTCGGCTGCTACCACGTGAACGCCACCTCGATGTACCGCATGAGTTTGATGATATTCGCCCTGATAACGGAGAAAGAGTGTTCAGTCTTGTTAGGGGAATGCTCACTAGACATATACTTTTGCTACAACTCTGTCACCTGCTTCCGGTTCACCATCGTTTGGTTCTTGCCAAATGTTTACTCGCATCATTCCTTTGTTTCGATTGGCTGGTCTAAGTCGTTTGTTAGTGAATGGTATCTCAGGGGTGTATTGCCGCTAATGCTGTTTCCTCGAACTTGCCTGATTGCTTCTTTCTTTTGCCATTTCTCACTCTCTCGTATTATTCGTTGTTTCCGGTAATGTTGGTTGGCTCCAACGTGCTTTAGCAGCTTTGCTTCATAAGCTTTTGTACCCTACGTACGGCAATGATGTTCTTATTCAAACCACTCGATCCGGACTCATCTTCGTGTTTTTCTTGCGATCGTGGGGGCGTGAACAGTTAGCGACGACGCAACAACGCTATGTGCTGACTACCAACTTTTTCTCTCCAGTACGAGCTTTCGTCACCCTGGGCACCACTGTGCCACCTGGCGTCCATCGTCAACCCGGCGCTGATCACAAATTGATCACTTAACCATAATTCGCAGGTGGCGCGGCAGCGTACGCGATTGCAAATCATTTTGGTCGACGTGCGTTGAAACCGGTTATGCCTTGGTGTATGCGACATTTTGCATGCGTTTTGGCAGTTCACCTGGGGTCAAGCAAACTGGAATCAACAATCACAACTTGGAGGACCCGACGGTGGAAACGCAGTATCAACTTTGGCTTCACGAAAATCTCGCTCTACCCCTTGCTCTGGATGTTGATCAACACTGGTCAAGTTTGCAACAAGTATTATTGTCCAGCTACAACATCAAAATGCTGGATTTCGGTAAAGATCCTCGGGACTGTTAGATCGTCGATGGGCTGTGCCCGCAGGTGTGGAGCACAATAAACTCCGTCTTAACAGCCGAACTTAAGCCTTCGTTTTGACTGTGAATTCTGGAAGTCGCTGCATCGACTGGAAACTTCCGCAGTTTATTTTACCTCATCAAGACTACTGGTCGGCACGAAAATAACTTACACAAGCGCTTGAGCCGCCGGGCGGAACACTTTGCTTTCCAGTTTAGCTACCCGGCACAGCCCACTGTGACACTTCCGTTTCCCTCGGATGATGCTTGACCTGTCCCCACAGATCCCTCATACGGTAGAAGAGATCCGAAGCTCAATCATAAAGCTCCTGGCCTTGACAGCCTACCCCTGGCTCTATTCAAAGATGGCTGCAATACACTTGTCCGCGGAATCCTGTCACTTTTTACGAGGGTATGGACTGACGAGAAACTGCCAGTTGCATAGGGGAATCGGTCGTTATCCAACTTCACAATAAATCATCCCGCGAAGATTGCGCTAACTGCCGGGGAATTTCGTTGATATCTGTTGCTTCCAAGATTCTCGTGTCTGTCTTACTCTGCAGGCTTTCAGCGATTAAAGTGAATGTTTCCCGAGAGGAACAAGCCGGTTTTCTTCCAGGAAGTTTGCATCGACCAAATAATAATAATGTATATTCTCGGTTTTGCGGGGCGTGCTCTGTTCGGCATGGTCATATTTTTACAATTGTTTCGCATAGTTTAACAGCATATTCTTTGTGTCAGATATGACTAAAAAACGTTTTTTTATCAGCCAGGATTTAGCAGTTCAAATCCTTGTTTGGTCGCAGAATATATCATGGCCTCCTGACCTAGCTCTCCTTGTGCGGACGGAACCGAGTTTTCATTTCCTTGGGCAAAGCATGAGAAGCTAGTTTGATCATAGAAAAACATTAAAGCTAAAATCATACCATTTAAACTAAGCATTGGATGTAGCTAAATCATTTACCGTTCTAGAATGGTGAAAGTCGGGGTATTAATTTACTTTCATTTCAGCAGCTGTACATATAGGCCGAGACAGATGGAATGGGAGATTTATCTGTTGTGTGTTAGATGAACATGATTGACACTTGTCAACTGGCGCAGGTATTTTGATATAACTGTACGCTAGGCGTAAGCGAGTAAGAGGAGTGAGAATTTTTTGAAATGGTGATGAAGATTTTGGAATCAAAATCGGTTCGCTTCACCGTGATACTTGACATGTTTACATGAGAGCAACATGGGAACCATAGGCGAGTAAGAGAAGAACGAATGATAAAAGCGAATGAAGATGGATAGATTCAGTCAGCGTTTCCTTATCAGCTCACACTTTTTGGTATGGCTTCAAGGTAGGTATGGTTGAGTAAGCAGAATATTAAGGAGTGGAGTCAAAAATGATTATCTCAATCACAGTTCGCAATTCCTCTGCAGTCCACACTTGTTGGCGTGTCTATGTGTTATGCTTTCCAGAGTAAAGAAGGAAAGTGGATCGGGTGAAGTGAGTTCTGGCAACAATATATCGTTTTTTCCAATACACCTCCTCAGGAGAGCTTGACCAAGTGAATGCAATGGATGTCGGACGTTTCATGTATATTTGTCATCAACACAGCTACGTCCCGGCCCATTCTTCCAGTAACACATTTTCATTGCAATTTAGTTGCAAGACTGTTTTTACCTATTGCACCGTCAGGCACTTTGAAACTGCTCTTCTAAACAGCGGTTGAGTTGCATTCTCTTATTTCATTAGGGAGGCTATTCCAGTTCTCAGTGTGTCTGTTTAGGAAGAATTTTTTCGCACATAAGTTTTCGTTTTGAACACCGGCAGTTTTTGTTCTTAGTATTTCTAATTGCGTAACTGGCTTCTTTTTTGAAGCGAATATTGCTATTGGGCGCGAAAACACTCTTATTGATCAAATCGAATAAGAATGTTAATCCAAGCTTCATGCGTCTTAACCACAGTGGCTCCAGTTGTAGCATCTTACAACGTTCAGAGTAGTTAAGTTTAAACGAAGAGTTAAAGAGAGTCTTTGTGAATGATCTCTGCACGTTTTATAGGCACAGGCGGTCACGTTTCCTGCTGCTTTTAAATAAAAATCTTCACACTCCGCCAACTTCTTTAGCTTCCTCACCTTTACCGACGGGCAACAATCGTGTGTTCTTGGACATTCGAGCGACATTTGACTCAGTATATAGATCTGCGTTGTGGAACTGTCTACTAAGGGAAGGTGTGCCCGACAAGTTTGCAACCTTCCTGAAGGGACTCTACAGCCACACATTGGGCAAAGTCAAGGCTTTCCCGCTTTCCCCTTTATTTGCTGTCACCAGCGGCCTTCCTCAAGCTTGCCCGATTTCACCTTTCCTCTTCAGTTTTGCCATTGAAAATGACGTCCAACGAGCATTGGAAGGCGTCCAAAACTGCGGTATTGAGCTTCTCCCAGGTGACAGATTGGCAATATTCGACTACGCTGATGATACCGCTCTTCCTGGGTACGATCCACAACCTATCCAGAGCGTTTTGAACCGCTTATCGATAGAGGCGTCTAAGTATGACCTGTATTTCACCCCAGGCACATGTAAGTGCTCTTCCAGGATTGGCAGATGCCTCTGCCTGCCCTCACCATTGGTGGTGGCGTCCTGGAACAAGTCCCCTGCTTCACTTTTCTAAGGAGTTGCATCACGGCTGGCAGCGGTGTTGGCCATAAGGTCAAGCAACGGATCGCAAAGACCCGCCTTGTATTCATCAGGCTGAGACACCTATGGCGTCGCCGCGATGTCACTCTCAAACCGGAAGGGCAGGGTGTACGTTGCCTCTGTTCGTGCGGTCCTCTTGTACGGCTGAGATTTGACCTATTCGCTCGGAAGACTTGAAGCGATTGTCAGTTTTTGACAAGTGTTTTCTGCGTAAGACTGCTCGCGTTTGGTGGCAACCTCGCGTAAGCAACGCAGAAATTCGAGACCGCGTACTTGTAGCAAACAACCCATGCCTCCAAATGGTGGTTCTCTTTCACCGCACACGTTGGCTCGGCCTCTTATTACGCATGCCAGCGTATCACCTTCCCCGTCGAGCGTTATTTATGCCCCCTGGAAGCGATTGCGAAAGTGCCGTGGTGAACAACTAATAGCACGGAGAAGGAGCAAGA